CCAGAAGCCCAAAAACTTCTCAACATGTTGGGAGCATCTCTCCTTGTCCTTCTGGGGGTCTGGTGCACAGGTGAGTGAAGGAGAGCCCAACACAAGACCTTTCCCCAAATACTGAGCCCAAGAACACACATTTATGGCATTATTCTTCCTCCAGGATCCACTTCGCAGCCTACAGTGATTCAGGAATCTTCCATGTCACCTTCCCTTGGACAGACCGTTAAACTCTCTTGTTCCCTGAGTAGTGGACAAGTAACATCTTATGAGCAAGTGTGGCTTCAACAAAAAGAAGGAAATTCTCCCAGATTCCTTTATGGTTACTACAGCAGTGCAACCGCAGGCTCTGGAGACCTCAGCCGCTTCTCTGCCTCCAAGGAAAGCAACCAAAATAAATGGTATTTGACAATCAGCAACCTCCAGCCAGAAGATGAGGCTGGTTATTACTGTGGTGTGTGGTATCACCCTAGTAATGTGCTTCACAGTGATACAAACTCAAGAGGAACTGAGGCCAAAACCTCCATTGCAAAAAGCAGAAGCAGAATTTGAGAGTCCATTGATTAATTTGAGTTCTTCAAGCCAAAATCCTCGCCTTTTTTAGTTCAGGCAAAATCTCCAGGACCGTGAGCTATTTTGATGAATGGCAGAGAGAGGCTGGTTTCATAATCATCTATGATCATGGTTAGTTCCTCTCAGTCATGGATAAGCCCTCCTGGATAAGCACCACCCTTTGGCTTTCTGAGCTCTTCTGACTTAATGAAATAAGACTCTCTTGCCTTGAAGACACTTGCTCAAGATAGGTCGACCTCACTCTGGGCAATAATTGAATGAGTTCCTGGAACTATTTCTGAGTTCTGTTTACTTTTTTCACTCTTACCTAAGTTTCAGACGTATTCTGGATTTGATTGGTTATAATCTGTCGGAAGAAGTACACAGGTAACTTTGTAGACCCTTTGAAAGGGGACTGATATTTTCTGATATATTGGAATCTATGCTTGTTCTCTAGTTCTCCTAATTCTTCTTGGTACACGAAGTGGAGGGATACAAGCTTAGAGAAAGTTACCAGGACTTTGGAAAGGTTTTTGTCTGAATTTTGCAAATCAATTGTTCAAGAAACAACATTGGGACAATGGCTGTTCCCTGACACCAATAGATGCTGAAAAAGGTCCTCTCATCATCACATTGAAGGACAGAAAGAGGTCCACAAAGATCTTGGACTGACTCTCAAGCACCAACTCCTGCAACACGGCCACCCTACGCATCTCTAGGGCCCAAGCACAGGATGAGGCAGAATGTACTCCCAGGTGTGGGACAGTGATCAGTGCAGAACGATACAAACTGAGAAGGAGGTAAGACAAAGGGA